GACTATGATTCCAAAACAAGGCAAAGATCACCAGCAACCTTCCAATTATCGCCCCATCAGCTTGCTCCCCATTTTAGGCAAACTATTTGAAAAAGTTATTCTCCTTCGCGTTGATCCCTCCTAAACCCCTTCATCCGCCCCGCACAATTTGGTTTCCGGAAGGGTCGCTCTGCGGCCCTCCAAACACTAAATTTAGCGCTATCAATAGCAACTCCCCTTCAAAACAAAAAAGAAATACCATGTATATTTACCGACCTTACCTCCGCTTATGACACTGTTTCACATAGTATTCTTCTTATGAAAAGTAAACCTTATATTCTCATTCGCTTACATTCCCTTATTCAAAATTATTTTTACCCGACGACTTCTCTGGACACGACATATACAAGAAAAAACACGGTCAGCTCACAGAATCATTAACGCTCTTCTTCCTCTTCTTACACACCATTCTTTACCCATTAAACGAAAATTAGTTGTCTATTATATTTATATCCGCCCCATCATCACATACGCCCACCCCACCTGTTCTTGCACATTTAATGATAATTACCTCCTACTGACTCGACTAGAAAACAGACTTATTCGACTTTTCTTCCAAGCGGCCCTATATACTCACTTCAACGACAGAAGACGACAAAATGACATTCCCCATATTGCCACATACATTCACAATTCAGCCCAAAACATAATTCGAAATTTCCTCTCAGATCCTACTTACAACTTTTTACTTACTTCCCATATCCCCATTATTACAAATCCACCCTTACATAGGACGAAAAAACATCCCCTTGACATACTTCAACTTCCCCCACCACCGACTTGACACAGAGAACACAGAAAATTAGACTACCTAATTATCTCCAACTTCTCACTCAAGACGCTAACAAAATTCTGGACATGACTGTTATATAACAAAATTACGACCTTAATTGACTCACTCAATACTAACGACTAATATTATTTCGCCTTCTTTACCTCTGCTTATCTTCCTATCTTCACTTATTCCACTTCCTATACTATTCTTTCTACTTCTCTTGTTTCTTCCTTCCTTTCATTTTCCCTACTATTACATATTTAAACAATATTTTTTTCGAATCAAAATTGCTACTCAATCCCTATCCTGTATGGGGGACGGGCGCAATACTTACATTTATGATGAAACAAAATGGCATGAAGAGCTCCAACTGGAGCAGGCATGCTACAATAAACACACTTACTTGGTCTTGGTCTTGTATGTAACTATTCAAAAATTCGTCCTCAATCCCAAATTCTGCCAACTCATCATTCCCCACCACCATATCCTACGAAACCCACCCCGCTTTACCCGCAATCGGCATCCACTTGACATCCTCCAACTTACCCCACCCGTCACCTGAGCCAGACACAAAAATCGACAAACGAAGAAAAAAACGACAAGCCGACAAAACCAACTACACGAAACGCAAATTAACGAACCAAGACAGACAGAGAAAGACGAATAAGATACAACGAAAAACCAAAATCAACCAAAAATTACAGAATCCACCCTTCGCCAAAAAACCATAGAATCCTATTACTACACCCAACTGAAAAGGACCGTTCCCCCCCCCACCAAACCCATCCCAACCCAATCCCTTTCCTTTCCCCTCTCCCCGTCACCCAGTGCCACCCTAATAAAATAACCCATCAATCCCGACCCCCAATCCCTGTCCCTGTACGTGGAAGAGGAGTCAGAGCACAACCAGACCAAACACCTGGCTACAACAACCTGCTCGAAGAGACCCCCACAAGGGTCAGGCGAGCAAAACAACCAACGCCCGGAAGCAGGAAGCAGGTATGTAACTATATTGGCATACGTATCGTAGAGCAAGCTCACGTTACACATCAATACGACAGCGTGTCGTATGAGCAGAAAGTGTTGGTCGTACACCAGTTAACAACTGCACAGCGACGGAATCCGTCGCCATGGAGGAAGCGTGCTTGACGCCCCTCCCGCCTGACGACTACCCTACCGAAGGCCGGTGGGTGTTCATCGCCGACAAGAAGAGAGCTGCGGAAGAGGGGAATCCGGTCTCCTCCACCGCAGCCAAAAGATCAACAGCAGCAGGACCTGACAACGCGCAACGACCGGCGAA